CTTATGTAATACTCCATGTGTCTTTGATAAATGTTAGTTTGTAATTTGCTTTTTGAATTTTCACTCATTTTAAACTAATTATATTAATATTTAATTACTAATTATATTACTAATTATTCAATTAAGTCAAATTAGATAATTTATTTATGTACTAATTAGATTATTAATTAATTATTTAATTTACTTAATTATTAATATTTTAAATTATATATTAATTAAGTTAATAATAACATAGGTCCATCTAGGGTTTGCCTTTCATCTTCTCTTTTTGTCATTGTTGTTCGGCTTCGTTGCTTCGCAGGAGTTGTGAGATTGCATGCGTCGCTTCTTCGGCTCCTTCGTGGCTGTTTGACTTCGCTCCTTCGACGACTTTCCCTTCCTGTCGGGTCGGAAGTTACGGCATTTTGATCGGAAGCAACAAGGGGAGCTTGCTGGCTGTGAAGGTTCTCCCTTTCGCTCTCTTCTTCTGCGACACGGATGCCGTGGTTAAGTCTTCCGTCAATCTTTAAATCTCGTTAAATCCAGCGAACCGAGGGATTTAATAAATCCGGCATTTAAGCCTTAAATCTGGGATTTATTGAATCTGATGATTTAACACGCGCTGTAAAACCGTTTCGCTCGATTTAACGTAAATACGACGATAAATCCGATACCAAACAGCCCCTTAATGTTCAAAAGATTTATCTCGGATTTAAAATCGATTATATAATAATTTTAAAAATATTTTATATTATTTAAATAATAAATAATATGTAAATATCAAAAAATAGTAAAACGACTTATATTATTGATACATCTTTAAAAAAAATATCATGACCGGGCACGAATCATGAGGCAAAATCATGTAGAAAACTTCCAAAATTAAAATTGGGACCATCCGAACCTCGATTTCAGCGAACTTACAATTGAACTAAATGTCTCGAAAATATAAACCCAACGACACCAAATTCGACTCAATTTAAGCCCAAATGGGTCCAAATCAAGGGCCCAAAGCATTGTTGGAAGATTCAAACCATAATTTTGATTACCAAACGATTTCCAAATGTTACATGCTTATAGTCGGATCGAGCGGTTCGATGAGAAGAATTCAACGAGCATAAGATCACTAAATTATAACATTATTAAGACCTTCAAATGTGTAGTGAACGATCCATAATTCAATATCGATCATCCATCAAAACCACTCACCATTTACCCTTGATCCTCTCCTTCTTGTTCTCTAAGCTCTCTTAGGTTAGGATTACAATAAAATATTTTTATCATCAGTAAATAAGAGAGCACAAATAGAAAGCCTTAATTAAACATCCTAGTTTTTAACTTGCCCTCAAAGATCGTTCAGGATAGATCATTCTGTATAATTAGTTTAAATCAGTCGTATCAGTCTGGATAATCTAGTCTTCCTATATGATCAAAAAAATAAAGTTTGTTCTGATCCTCGTATGATTAGTTTAAAATCATACATTATCATCCATCAGATAGTTTGAGACATCTAGAAGATAAATCTGGATGATTTAAAAATATAATTGATCGTCCATGAAGATGTGTATATCATCATGTATGATTAGTTCAAAATCAGATATTAGCGTGCAGTACATAGTTCAGGTCATCCAACATGCTTAGGAGAAAGCTAAGGTTTTCTCAGAGATCGTTCAGTACGATCCTCCAATTATCCCGGATGATATGATCAAATAATATAATACAAATTACATTACTTAATTACCTAACTAACATAGGCATGATTATAATGAATCATCCAGGATGATATTGGATCGCCCTGTATGATTAGAATAAAATTCTAAAAATAAAATCTTGCCTAAATGAGTTTGGTAGTTGAGTATTTTTTATTTGAGCATATCATCCAGGATGATTGGAAGATTGTCTTAGTCGAATTGCTTAATTAGGCTGACTTAACACAGATGCCTTAGTTAGGTTTCTATTTTTAACTAATCACCTATGATGATTTTGATCATCATGTACAATATGATGAAAGATAAAAAACTCTCTAAATTATAAAATTTCTCCCCCTGAGCGTGTGCAAGGTTACTTAGCATCAGGATCCACCTTATTATATTTGACTCAAAAAAAAAGGTAAAAAAAAAATACTAGAATTTAAATTACAGACTAACTCGGTCCTAATCTACCTAATATTGAGATAACTTGAATTGTAATTAATCTTGTGGACCTAAAAAGTTAATAGGTAAGGCAACCAAAATAGATATATAATAGTAATAGTAGTAGAGAAACATTAATGTTTATTATCATAAAAATTATAATGCTTGAATCTAGATTTGTAATAATATCCCCTTTTTTATGATAACAAATATTTATTAGATAATTTTAAATCAAGTACATTAAAAAAATAAAACATAAAACAAAACAGAATAATATGAGTCAAGCAAAGCAAATTTTACTAAAACAAGCAAATGATACAACCATAACACTACTCCCCCTTTTGACATCACAAAAAGGAGTAAATAGAAAAAAATACAAAATAGAAAAGTAAAACATTAAAAAATGGGAAAAACATAATAAAAACATGAGAAAAATAATAAAGGACCAGAAAAACATGTTTTTTTAATCTATACTAGAAGATGTTAAATTTTCCTTCTTAATTGAATTAAAATTATTAAGAAATGAATTAGTATCACTTAAATCTAAAAAATAGTAGAACAACTAATATTGTTAATCCTAGCTCAGATTTCCTACAGGACAAAAATCTTTTAAAAATAAAAATCTAACTCAGAAAAGAAATCAGATAAGAAAAGTAATATATTGAAAACTTTATTTTAGAAAAAAATAACTTATAGAATAATATAAGAGATTAGTCAAGATCAAGAGTTTCAAAAATTAAGTCCATTAAGATATCAAGTAACACATAAATTTTTCTAAGATTTAAAGATTTAAAAGAGAGTGAAGATTGATTTTTTGTGGGCTCATTTTGTGTATCTTATCAATTATTTGGTACACTTTATGCATTTTTTAATTTTTTATACACTTTATATATCTTTCAATTATTTGGCGATCATTGTACATCTTTTCAGTTTTTCTTTTTGAGGTCATTTTATGTCTCTTATTATTTTTATGAGTTAGCTCCATTTTGAAACCTTTAAAGAAACTCAGTTGTAAGAAAATCTTCCAGATAATAGAGAAAAAAACTCACTCTCTAATATAAAGGAGAATAAATTACAAATCAGATTTATAATCATATGATGAATGCAATAACTTGATAGAGAAAGCTTGAAAGTGATTTAATGACTTTGAGCAATATTCATATGAGATATATTATTGAAGGAAGAT